CGATTGAGAATACACGATTGTCCCTTTGGAATTAAAACCGGCGAGCGTCATGCGAAATTCCATAAATTCTTTATCATCTGAACGTCATATAGCCAACGTCTATACATCACCGATGCGTCGATGCGTTCTCTGTGCCGTGACGTGGAAGGAAATTTAAATTTTGAGGTCGTAGAAGAGATATGCATAACAAATTTTAGGAAGCTCGAAAATTTCACGAAACATCTCTAACCGTTCTAATTGCGCTTTTCCTGTATCTTCCTTTTCCACGATTTATATCCACTTTTAATATCGTTTTCTGAAATTTTTATATTTAATTGATGGATGATCTATATTTTTCAAATTAATTTATAAATAGATATATACTTTTTTTTTATTACAATTAACTTAATTATAGTAATGACAATGTGACAAATTAACTTTGTGTTTATATTGTTTCCGTCGGACAAATATTTTGTCAAATTATTTTGAAGAACAAAAGTTAACACTGTCTCCGTTGAGTTTCTAGTGGCTCAACTATTTTCAAGAGAAAAACTTGTTGACCTTGTTATTTTTCTCTTCATTTCATCTTCCCCTTATGTATATATATATATACATATGAAAAGAAGAAGCTTTCTATCTTCTAGAATAATATTGAAAATTATTTATATGATTCAGATAAATATAATTGAAGATTTACGTGATTTGACATAGCACATAATAAGCTATTTTAGATAATATTAATTTAAACGAATTTAAAAATACATTTTATGTCATTGTAACTTCATATTTATAATTATTGTAAAAATCTATTAATGAACATTGAAGCAATTTGAAATAAATATAAATTTAAAATGTTTTGTAATGTGTTTGATCGAACAATTTTTTTAATAAATTTTTTTAATACTTAACTGCATAATCCACGAGAATATTGAAATTTCGAAGAAAACTTTTGCGATATTACTTTCTCGATATTTATATAACTTTAAAAACAATATCTTTTAAAAAGTTTCACCAAGGAGATTCTTTTTTAATTGTAATCATATCAGAAGTACAAGTAGGGGGAAAAAATATAATTGAAAATCTCCTTAACTTCTAACCTTATAATAAATTTCTTTTTGAAATAATTCATGCTGAAGAATGATATTCAAAAGATACAAATATACCATAATTAAATTTAAAAATAAGAATGATTCATCTCAAAATAAAAAGCCTTCCATTATATCTCATCTTCATTTCTTCTAATTTTTTTAAATATTTCAATCACTTTTCAATCACTGTTCTACTATTATTATCATTGTAAAAAAATTACTACAGGATTTCTTAATTTATCATAACATTAAAATGAATTTCTTAAACCATACTGAATATAAAAAACCTACTCGAGAAATATATCTTATTCCCTTATCATATATCATTAACAATAATTTTTAATCTATTTTCACGTAATATTAAGGAAAGTTCTTATACATTTTACGACCTATTCAACAAAAATAAAATAAAAAATCCTCTCGAGAAATGTAATTTTCTTCGCTATAACGATGAATAATAATTTTTGATCCATTCCAATGTAAAATTACCAAGGAAGGGAAAATTGCTTCTCGATAAAAATATACTCGATATACGGTCACTGAAAGTTTATGCATTATATGTACGACCCATATTTCGCGGAATTGGAAACAATAGGGAGGCGCTGGTGACAAGACGGTGTCGAGCAGATCAAGCTTTACGATTCGTTGCGAAATATTTCAGTGCAAAAGGGATTTCCACGATGCTCACGAGCATCGTACATTCTCGGCAAAAAAAATCTTCCATCCAGAAAATCTTCTATCGAGGCTTCCTGCGTATGTACGTGTATATTACATATACATGAATGCACGCGACTCGAATAATCGAATCAGCGCGAGGGATGTTACAGAATTGGATGGATTTCTTATTCGAGTGATTCGTGAAACGAGAAACAGATAAACTTGGATAGAATTAATAATAAATATTCAATTAAGAAAAAATAATTTCGAAAAATCTCGACAAGATTTCGAAATGAATATATTATTGTTTTGTAAAATTTTTTAATACAATTAGAAAAATATTGAGAAAAATTTAATAAAAATATTGATTATACAATATTATTTTCAAATTTGTCTCAATTAATAATTACTTTTTATTATATATTTGTAATGCAATGAAGTTATTATTAATACTTTTTTATTCTATTATTTACTGTATTTTTGTTTTATTTTCTTTTTATCGATTTCGATGTAATAAAATAAAATTTAATTTCGTATTTTTATTTATTCGTTTTTTACGTTAAATATTGCAAAATAGGGATAAAGTTTACATAGAATGGAAAGTATCATGACGGATTAATTTTTGATGAAACTTTAATATCTGTAAATGAAATCTTATAAAAGTAATATCAGAATATAAAAATAATATCGAGAACAATAAATATACACGCAATATACCAAGTTTAACAATCGTATGATCTTCTATGATAACTTTTAATTAAAAAACATTTTTCTTATATATAGCTTGAAAGAGATTATGCAAAGGAGGTCAAGCTAAATCGATAAATAAATATTCTCCAGAGATCGATGTAACAGAAATTTTATAATAATACTTTATCTTTAATACAGACTTGATATGATCTCTATATATCTGCTATCATTATTATTTATTATATATATATATAAAGAAAATTATAAGAATTATTCAAAAGACTAAGCTAATCATAAAAAAAACAAGGAATTTTTTTTACTAACTTGATCACTTCACAATTAATACAATTTAAATTTTTAATAAATACAACTTAAAGAGATATTCCAGAAAATATAAATTCCGCTCTATTGTATATTGTTCTCCTATGTAGCTATGTTTTCTATACAACTATGTATCAAAATGACGTCGATTTTAGATGCAAAATAACAATAGAAATGACGTGAAAGCTTCATAAACGACTGAAGAGATAAAGAAAAACATGCCCTTGACGATACATTTTCTTTCTGCTCGAGAACTTAAATAGTAAATCTCAAAGTAAAACTTCAAAGTAAAAAATATAAGGGATAAGGATTGAATGGCGATCATAATTGCAGCAAACATACTGACCTATATCCTAGAAATGTAATAAATAGTAATAGTTAAAAAGATAGATAAAATGCAAGCTTTTTAAATTCCTTCTTTTCCAATATACCATAATTAATACCATAACCATAATTAATCGAATGACAAATATTTGTAGACATTTATGGAAAAAAATTATTAATAAATTTTTAATTAATAATACCATAAAGAAAAAAAATGGCTTTTTGATATGCATTGAATATGTATATCTATCTGCTAACTTTAAAAATGGATCATTGATAAAAGTCAATTATATATTTATAATATGAAGGAAAACATATTTTGATCTAATATTTTTGTAAAACGAAAGATATACGGGTCATCAGGAAAATAGATAAAGAATTCTAGCGTGTGAACATACAGTTAGAGCGCAAGTATGGAGGATGGAAAGTCATAAAGAAAAAAGGTCAAATGACCAAAGAATAAAAAATTGATTAAGCATAATAATTGTTGCATATGATCAAGTTATTACAATCTAAAATCTTCTTTATATATATATATATATATTTTTGAAAATTTAAACATAAGATAATAAAGAAATTGCGTTGGAATTTTTATTCGATATTCGTCGAAACTTTGAAAATTAATCTGATCTTTTAAAATTTCATTGATTACCTGTATAATCGAATATAGATTGTATAATAAATAACTTCGAATTTTTAAAAGTCTAGAACGTGGAAATAATTTATGGTAAACAGGATGGATCCAAGTATATTATTAAAAGAAAAATAGATTATCAAGGAAAGTTAATCACAAGGCATTTTATGCAATCTCTTCTATGTCAGTAACACTATATACTTTCGAGATAAAATGAATTTCAATAAAATTCAAAGCGGTTAGAAACTCTCTTATTACGAGAGAAATTATCTTCAATAAGATATACTACTTTCGAATCATTTTATCTCTTTATTCTCGAACAGAGATGTTTCCGCTAAAAAAAACTAAGCCTCCTCTTTTTTATCTCCATTATATCGTTAATGGAGCTCAAGTGAACTACAAACTTCAAAGGAACGAATATTCGACGATAAACTTCTCGAATGACGAATTTAACAAAGATCAACGATCTATTATACGAAATTAAAAAAAAAATGATGAAACTAAGAAGGAGAGGAGGATGAGAAAGAAAAAAAAAAAAATGTAAAACTATGCTGATAAAGATGTTTAAAAGCGTATCTGATTGAGAATTGGTCATGGCAAAGCGCGATAATACTTTCGATAATAGAATATCGATTTCCAATTAATCTGAAAAGGACGAACCATTGAATTTTAAACCGGGCGCACTTCAACGCCTATTATAATACGTATACACGATGTATATGGGTTGCAACCTAGTTATGAGACCAGAAATTCTCAATGGAATGGAAACTCTTAGTAGAAAATCTAGAGAGAACTTTAATGTCAGAGTTTTCAAACACGTTACTATCACATCCAACAACTTTTCGCCGTGAAATTTAAAATTTTCTAAGCTCGAGAAATTTATCTTTCCAAAACATTGTTTTATATTAAAATAATATTATTACTCGACACGAATTAATTAATTTTATATACATATTAATGTAAGAATAAATTAACACCAGAATTATCAAATCAGTTGATAGAAATAATTCACACATTTTTTTTTTGTTTTATGATTATTGAAAAGATGAAAATGTTATTGGCAAAATTATTATTGATGTTGATTATATCATTTAGATATATTTATCAATCAAAATGATAATTCTGTGTTAAAATATTATTGAATATGTAAAATGTATGTATGAATACAGATATTGATTGATTAGATTAATTAGATTTAGATTATTCGATCTTTGTTGTACCACATTTTTTTTACACTCATTGACAAGTAAAATTATATCATAATCTATATATAGCATACATTATATTTTACATTTTTTATATTCATTGATAAATTCCATATTTTAATGATAAAATAACAAACTCACCTTCTCCTCCATCTTAGAGACAACATCCTCGACGGCATTCTCCGCCGATTTTGCGATGGCTGCAGCTGCTTGCTCCTTTCTCGACATATGGCCGCGGAAAGATGCCTGGATTTTCGTCGCTGCTTCGCAAAGCTCTATAAGAGAAAGAAAGAAAGAAAATTATTGTTAAATTCGATGTCGATAAACGAATTTCAGATACGAATATTGTGTCAATCGAAAGGTATCTTTCAAAAGAGAAATCCTGTGGCGAAAAAATGCTATTTTTAGCATTCATGAAATTTAAGAATTTATCTCGATGTATATTCGAATCGAATGAATACGATGAATGAAAGAATGAAATAAAACGCGAGATTTAAATAAGGATTTATGCCATTGATTAATTTCTCTTTTTATTAAATAATTTTCTTTGCGATGTGACATTCTTTTAAAGATAATAAATTGATGATTTAATATTATAAATGTTTCATAAATGTTTAAACAATTAATGTTATCTTTTATTTTTGCAACGTATAATTCACAATATTTTTAATCTTCCAATAAACGAATAAATTTATATTTCAATCGCATTTTACGAGTCAATAAGAGATCTTCTATAAATTTGTTCCATTCGATAAATTTATCGTTTCGTATTTTCATTCGTTTTTCTTACTTATCTCTATTATTTTTCTATTTATTCGTTTACGAATATTTAGATATATTTCGAACGATTTCACGACAAGAAAGTGAAAAATAGTTTTTACGCGTACACAATGGCAACAATTTCAACATGAGCTTCAACGATCGAAATCAAGTTAACCACTGTTCATTTCGTTAAACCGTGTCAACCACTTTGAAAAAACAATGGCTGACCCAGTTCTGAATCAATTCCAAATTCGGTGTATTGTGCGAATTTACCTGACTTGCGGTTGATCCATTCGCAAAACACAGTTGTCCCGAATTTGATCCGGAGCAAATCTATTAATTATATGAAATTAATATAATATATCTCACAGTGGTGATAATATATTACTAAATATATTTATTTAAATAATTTTAAATCAATGTAACTCATCATTATATAATATCAAAAATAGATATTTTATTAAAATTAAATTTAACTCTTACAATTTTCAAATGAAATATACACATAATACGATTTTTTAACGTATAAACTATTTTTTTTCTTCTCATCGTATTCCAATTAAGTGAAAAAATTAAAAATAAATATATCACAACGAAGATTTACTTTTTGAAATATTTTGTTCCTTTGCAAGTTAATAAATTTTAAAATACACGTAAAAATTCGCAAAAATTATTACACGTGTAAAATATATATTTTTCACATAAAATATAAGAAAAAATCTTTATTTATATTGTATAGTTAGTCAATCTTTATCGACTAATCTCCGTCAGTCAATGTCTGAGAGTTAACTTCGTGTTAGCTATCCTTCGTCAGTCAACTTCTCTGAGTTTGCTCGATGTCAACCTCTTTATTAATTTCTTGCGAATTTGCTCTCTGTCAACTAGCATAGCCTGTCAGCCAACTTTTTCTTCTCGTAGAATTAAACGTTATAATTTCTCTTCTTAGATTTTTCATTAATAGAATGTGTTCGAAAGAAAGACGATTAATGATTAAAATTAACATTGCAAACAAACGATTAATCGAATTATAATCGAGTAGAAAATTTCATCCATTCGATCATTCCCAAATATCAAATCTCATCCTCTTGTCTTATCACCCTCCACGTTCAATTTTCTCACGAATCCATAAAATTCTGATCATCTTCTATCACGAAAGATTTTAGATTTGGAATTGAAACTTAAAACACAATATAAACCGTTGTATTGTCGTGTGTCAAATAAATCAATCACCTCTAAACCCATCGGCCATCTTCTTTCTCTTATAATCCATTGTACTATAATCCATTTATAGCTTAATCTATTAAAGCCAAAGTTAAAAATTAAACTTTGATACAAGTCTATTATTAATCTTTGTTTTGATAAGTTTTTAACATGATATTGCAAGACATTAATTTTTTTGCATTAACATGAAATTTTTTAATCATATATCATTTCACTATAAATTCTGTTATTAATTGGTAAATTTTTATGGAAATTAAGGGGTATGTTCGCGTCTCTTCCAAATGCAAATGGTTAAACTAGAATCTAAGTGGTTTAACTCGTTGATTTATTATGGACACATTGATCCTCGAGATTAGGACGCCAAATAGTAATTACGTATGGAACACTTGGATCACGATGAAATAGAACGCAACACGTAATTGGCTAATTTTCGGCTGATAATGTACGATCATTATTCGATTGGCAAATTGTAGACCAAGCAGGATTCATGGCAAGGAATTTCTCGATAAACTGTGTTATCGAATCGGCCTCATTCTATATCACGTGTTACAAGTAAATGTTAATTGTGAATAATGTTTTGTTCAATAGACTGGTCCAATTCGATTTCCTTTTAATTAATCGAACTCGATCGTGAATTGTGTTATGAATATAGAAAAGAAATTATACCAATTGAATATATTTTGTATTAATTATTTGAAAATATTTTATATTATGTTATTTATTTGTCGTATCATCTCGATTTATAAATATTAAAAATGTATTTTCGAAGATAAATTTGAATACAAAAATATTAAATTCCTAGGAATGCATAAAAATAATGCAAATTAATTCTTTCGTTGGACGATACGAGATAATTTATATTTTCATCGTTATATTTTTAATTTATATTGCATGTGTACACACATTCAAATTCTTTTATGGATAGACGATTACTTGGAAACAATTCCTCCTCCTTGAAAATAGAATCTTTAAGTGGTATAGCCACCTGCTACGGATAGAATGAATCGAACAAATGGCTGCCAAGCATATACGTAATGTCACTGTACGAGTATTGAATGTCTGTGAAAAAAATTGTCTCGCATATAGATTTGTTTTATTTTATCGTTATACATATATTTATATGATTTTCTCCTTTTCGTTTTCGAATTTCAATTTGCGGAATTAAAAATAATCGTTTTTAATTAAACACAATCGAAATCGAAACGATCGTTTTTAATGCGAAAATAAATTTCCCGTGTAATTTCCCTACGGAAAGAGTGGTAAATATGTAAATTTTCAGGAAGCGACATAGATGAATGGTATTACATCGTCGATGAAAAGTCCGGTTTCACCGGTTTTACCAAATTAATTCACGGCGAATCGACGATATATAAGGTTTAAAATCAATTTTTAAAAGAAAAAAATGTAAATTTTGATACGGTGCATCGATAATATAATATAAATCGTCCAACGATAAATCACTCTTTTAATAACAATATTCGTTCAAACAATTAAGCCGTACAAAACGGAGATATTGGCTACACAACTATTCAATTTCTCAAAATATAAATTGCCATTTTTCCCTATTAATTAATTAATTATTTAAAAAATTTAGAATAACATTTAGACAAACGAAATAAGAAAAGTATTGGAGATATTTATTAAAATATTTTTGCTTTGATGACAGAATATTTCACACTAAGCTAGTAGGAACAAATCAATTGATAGATTTTATTTGTGTAAATTATTTACACAATTTAACGATTCGTTCTAAAGTTATATATCAAGTTCCTGAATAAAATTAATGAATAAATATATATTTCGTCACTTCGGGGTAAAAGGGTATTGAAATCGTAGAAGGAAGTTATCTAAGATTAAATTAATCAAGTTGGGTGTGACAGTATAAATTTTCTGTGGGATCTGAGACAACTGGCCGAGCCACAGCCAGATAATTAATCGTCCCGAGATAAAGTAACGAGGGACAATCGATTTTGCAACCCGTCAGCGTCAAACTTTTCCGAAATTATTCGCTTTATCTGTATCTGGAATCGCGGTACATCCTTGACATTAAACGTTTCCATCAAGGATATCTATTGGCAGTGAACTATTTGTGTGTATCACAATGATAAATCTTCCTCGAAAGGAACTTAAAATCTATCGAGGCAAAATCGATAAGAAAACAAAAAATTACATTCATGATCTTACTTTAGATGAAATACTATATTTTATTCTTATATTTTCCTTATACGGATTTCTATTTGGATTATTTAATTTAATCCGAAATTTTTTTTTAATCTTTTTAATTTTCCTTTGTTCAAATTTTTGTATAAGAAGAATAATTAAACCACCTTGGATTAAATTCCAAACTTCCAAGCTATTCTCCATTTTAAAATGTTCTCATATTCATGATAATACATATTCCAGTTATATTTGTAGAATACGTATGCTTTTCTACTACTACTATATCTATTTTACTTTACTTACTTTGAAGTTTTATTTCTATTCTACTTTACATTTCTTGACATAAAGTTTCAAAGTATCGTATATGCTTTATATCTTCTATATTACGAACTACATTAATCTCGGCAATATGCCACAATTTGAATAATATCCTTCCTATTTTCAATCTTTAATTTTCATTTCTCACACAAAGAAAATATAACACAGTTCGCCTCTTAACTGATTAAAATACTATGCTTTAAACAATCAAACTATATTTCCAAGCGCAAAAGGGTTAATTGATAAATTAATTGATAAATTACCGCAAAACATACTTTGAACAATTTCTGCATTACAGAAGCGTACATTCACTTCCTGCCATCATCCATGTCGGATATAAAAATTGCCCGGGAATATCTCGGCGAGCCACGCCTAAAAATCCGGGTCACGAAGAGGCGGTTCTTGGAAATCGTAAGCAATTTCTGCGGAATTTCCACGATCCCGAGTCAAAATTCTAGGAAGGTAACAACCGCCACGAAAGGAATCCACGTGGCCCCCGGGGAATTGCTCGGCGAGAAAACTGTCACGCGAGGACCGAGTTTATGACGAGTCTCGTTTGCGGTTTAGGGAACATTGTCTTCTTCATCCACTCTGCGAACCGGAGGATCTGATCTTCTTGTGTGCCAGGGTATCAGGGCATCGAGGACTCGATGGTATCGTTTGGGAAAAAGGGAACAAATGAACGATGATTCTAGATTCTTGTCTTAAAATGCGATTTTGCCACGAAAGTATTGTATTTTAATTCTTAATTGTTAAAACGAAAATTATTATTGGGATATATTATCGATATTGATTGGAGGATTATTGATTGTTTTGGAAATATTTTTGTGAATGGATAGTCGTGTATAGAAATAAATTGAATGAGATGATCGTGATCGAGATTAAGAGAATGAGACAATAGTGGTTAGACAAGTTATGTAGGTCAATTGTCAGGCAAGGATAGGATAAGACATTCATTCATTTGTCAAAGAAATGGATTAATTGTAGGTAATAATTATCTAATTATAGTGTTCATCATTGAAATGATGCAGGAGAATTTTATTTCGCAAGAATAATAATTTCTAATAATGGATTAATAATGGAAGATGGAGGAAATGTTATTTGTAATTTTATTTTATTATTCAAAACAGGATATATGGTCCACACAAAATTCTATCACTGGCTTGGGATTGGAATTATGTTATCATTATGGTTTGCATAGCTAATAAAAATGTCAACTGATGAATTGATTGCATGAGAACAGAAATGTAAACGTGTTTATGAATATACATATGTATACAGATATTTAATATACTATATCTGTTTATTATAATAAATATTGTGAACGATGATTAAAAGTTAAATTTTAGGAATAAAATGAATTAAATTGGCATGCCTATTCATGTTCAGAATTACGTGAAATGTTGGATATTAATAATGTAACATCGTTGGAATTTAAACGAAATTTTTATAATTACATTAAAATCAATTTCCAATTTTAAATATATTTCGAAACGTTATAATTTAACACGTTGTATCAATTTCGGATTTTATTAAAAAACGAGAGCACGTGTTGTGAAACATATAAAAAAAAAAATTTCTGAAAGAAATTTTTCATAGTCAATTAAACTTGCAATATTAGAAATATTAATACTGAGTGAAATTTATAGTATACCTGATAATGCGAATATATCGTCATTTTGAATTTATCCGCTTTAATCTATCCTGTATTGGATATTGTTTGGGATATAACGAATTAATTATTACGAGGTAAATAACGAGGCTGCATTGTGAAAATCTCTTATAAAAATACTCTCCATCATATAATATGCAAAGCATTAATAAGTTCGAGATAAATTTTAATATTACCGCAATATTTTATATCGTGTAAAAATATTTTAACCTCGACTTCATTAAATTTAATATAGAAGAAGAAGACAAAAAATTAAATCACATTATTTTTTTCGAAATCATATCACTAGCAATAACAAAAAAATTATAAAACTAATTAATTCACCCTCATACGATGAATATAAAAAACTTATTTGAGAGAGAAAAGAAAAGAAAAGAACATACGTCAACAATAGCAAACAGAGAGAAAACATTGGTCAATATTTAAGAATTTGAATTTTCGACGCGATTCTCACAAACTGATACATCTGATATAAGATTCAACAGAGCGTAAACTAGCGAGGATGCTTTAAAATTCAACAATCGCCCCTGTCGCCACCGTACAATTTAATGCGGCAAAGGATCGCGCCAAAATAGTGCAACGTTTCCTGGCACATGGTTACGTAAGAGGCACATAGGCACCATAGAGTTATACACATGGACAGGAGGAGTGGAGAGGAGTCGTAAATTCTTTGGCCCACGACGAAGGAGCGAAGGACGTCTCTCGAAGAGGGACGATCTCGAGACGAGATTGGCAGGAAAAGGAGAAATTCTGTAAAATTAAAGGGTTCCCCTTTGGGAACGATTTCGAGGGTTGGTACGTGACACTCACCCTTATCGTCGGCGCGGAACTCCTGCTGAAGTTGTTCTTTGGTTGGCTCTGAGTTTGATTTGGTCCCCGTCTGCTTCGTCGAGGATTCAATATCTTTCATACTCTTTCTGGCGTGGTGGCCGCGGAATGCCGCTTGTATCCTGGTCGCGGCTTTCTCCCTCTCCTTCTCCGTGTCCTCTTCTTTCTTCTCTCCTCCCTTCGACTCTTCTTCCTTTCTCTCCTTCGAATCCGCCGATTGTCTTTTCTGCGACGATTCTTGCGAATCTACTTTCGCCGGACTGCTCTCTCCTTTCGTGATATCTGAAAATTTATCGATTGTTAGTGTTAAAATTAATGGACGAAAGTTGCCAAAGTTCATCGTTTTGAATATATAATAATTTTGAATATGTTTAACGTAGTAAAGGAACGAGATGTTATTATTAAATTTTCTGAAAATAAAATATATTTATTGTATAATTGTACATTATCTTTCTAATCGAATTTACGGATCTCCTGATCAAGATATCGATTATTAATTCGAAACATAAAATTTCTTTGTACAAATATTATTCGTATTACTCGGTGTGCATGTTTGTTCAAGTGTGTACTATCGTTCGCCAAGAGATTTAATCATAGACATCGAAATGCACGTACGCGTATATTATTCTGTTTGAGGCTGAGTTTCGCATGGTTGTCTTGATTAAACTTTACCTTTCATTCCTTTGAGAATTGGTGCTACCTAGATACCGGTAGAATTCTAAATTTCTCTATACAACATCGTGCAAGAAATTTACGAGAGTTTTAATTATTGAAAGATGTGTACATATATATGTACGAGATATATATGTATGTACTTTGAATTCTTTGAATATTTAAGCATTAAGAAATAATAATTGATAGAAGAAAAAATTTACAATCAATCTTATCAAGATTTATACAAATTTATTCTAATCATTTAGAAAGATCATTAAAATAAAAAAAAAAAGAAATTATAAATAATTATGAAAATAGAAAGAAATGTAATATTAAAAGCAATAATAATCTCGAGGATAGTCATTGTTTTAAATTTTAGAAAATTTTTTCTTAAAAAGTTTTTTTCTTTAATGAAAAAATGAAATAATAACCGGGATATGACAAAAGCAAAATTTCATTTGAGACCGAAAGGGACGCAAAAGGGAAGTAAATTATTATTTTTTTTTTTTATTAAAATCTAGGTCATCCTCGTATACTCTAATCAAACCAAAAATGGAAAAAGAAAGTGTGGAAACTCTAACACAATTCCTTCTTTCCTAACACGACGCAGCTAATTCCTTTGCGTGTGTAGGCGTATCTTTATGACTCGTGCTCGCAACAACTTCTGAATCTTTGCTTAAATAGAGAAGAGCACGTATCTTAAGAAGATATCATAAACGTGACAAGAAAGAAAGAAAGAAAAAAGAGAGGAGAAAAAGAAAGAAAGAAAGAAAAGGAGAAATAAAGAGAATATACTCCTGGTATCACAGTGATAACAAAGAAGACAATGAATCATTGCCTGTACACCGTTAGTGACACTTTGCATGTGCACGTTTCCAGTATACGCGAGTATAATTACTGGTTTAGTCGTCGTTTCGTGCAGGACCTATTTTCAAGGTGCATCGCCTTTTTTTCGCCGATTCATGCCTCAAGGAATCTCTTTCGACCTCTCTCCCCCCAAAAAAAGAAGAAGAAGAAGAAAATAGTGTCTGATAAACCTGATGAAAAGAAGGAACAAAAGTGTACCACGTACGAATTAAAAATTTAAAAAAAGGGAGAAAAAATTTATGAAAGCAAATCGCGATGCTTCTGACCTGATTTCGAGACAATTTTTTTCGAGCACAGAAACTGGAAACTCTTGGAGAGATATTTTAAAGGGACGGAGTAGTTTGAAATATTTAATCAAATTATTACCACAGCCAACTCGCAAAGTTTTTTATTTATTCATGTATTGAGTATATAATTTCACCTGAGAATTCTTACTTATGAAATGAAAGAACAAGTCCGCGGATCAATTATACGTTCAAAAAGTTTTATCTCGGATTAAGAAAGAAGAAAAAAAAAAAGCATTGAAATTTTTAAGAAGTTAATTTCACTGAAAAATAATATTCCAAAAGTAACTCGTTATATTCTACATTGAAAATTTAATTGAAAACAAAATTATTCGAATTCTCTTGTGACAAGTGTGCACAAGTGGTGCAAAAAATTTGCAATATCGACCAAGATTTTCTTTATCCTTCCCTTTTTTATCACTAAAAACACGAGGGAGATTTACGACCCACTAAATGCAAATATAAAAACGTCGAAACGTTTGGGGATGGAAAAATGATGGTGGTTATGAACGGTAAAAATTTCCTCGAAAAGTTGAACGATATACAATTTTTCATTTTGCTTAACAAGGATGGAAATCTCTTAATCGATGATTTCACGATAAATTCACGAGAGTGAATTATTTCTGGGGATGAAACAAATAAATTTATATCGAATAATAATATTGTATTTATCATTAACGTGTTTGGTTTAACAAATTGTTCAAATTGGAGTGGGTTAATTTTATTTATGTATTTATGAATATATTGTATTACTATAGGAAATTACAATTATAAATAATAAAAAGACGTGAAATTTAATAAATTTAATATACATTTAATGTTTTTATTAAATTAAATTCAATTGAAATAAAGATCTTTGGTCACGATATGGTAGTTGTGAAACAACTTCTGGATCAAGAGAATAACGAAGGTTGTTAATTACCTTTTTCAAGTCTCACCTTCACCCTCGAAGTGTAATTCACAGTTTTTGCAAGGTCAACACGCGATAATCAAGGTACATAAGATATACAATTTCGAAACTCTGCCTTCGACGATTAAGAGAAGCGAACTGATGATCGTTACGAATGGAAAGTGGAGATTCATAGCGCCATGTTGTAATGGAGAAAATTAGTCAAACGAAACGGGGGATAACTGTGAGAAATAAGGTTTTATCGGGGAGCTAATTGACTTCGTGTTTCAATTTCTATCGTGCGCATTTGTAACCAACTTTAACGATCGATTTCGTATTCCATTTCATTTCTGCGTGCTTTCCAGTTTAGCAATGAATATGACGAAATATGTGAAGAAATTTAAAATTTACAAATTAATTATTTAAACTGAACAACACAAATTTAAAAAGTTCAATTATATAAAATATACTCGTAACATGTATACATGGCAATTAATTAACTTTGCTATTACATCATTTAAATTAATATCTTCAATAAACATTAAGGTTGAAGAATAGTAATGGAGTTAACCCAATGGAGATAACCCAACCGATAGAAAATGAAACCTAATTTTATATTATTCCAACTCACCTTGTGCAAGTTGTTTTAACATGTACATTTACACATGTGCTTCAAAGCTAACACATTAGCGAACCCAGAATATAAAAGCAAACAAAAGCAACCTTTACTTAAAACGTTAATTTCTCTCAGAATATTTTTACTCTTCACCTATATTCTCAAACGATGATAGTAATTTCATTCACTAAATGATCCCTTCCACGAAATTGTACATTAAGAAAAAGCTGAGAGGATAAATCCCTAGAGTGACGATTGCACGTTTTCAGAAAATATTCACTGTAAAATATTTTTCGAGCCAAGATTCAATATTACGCTTTTCCACGTATCATTCTGAACGAA